TGCCTGTTAAGGTCTCTGGGCCATTTTTTACTGTTTGTTTAAAAATGTTTTGTTCTGGGGCGCTTGGGTGGCTCAGTAGGTTAAGTGTCTGCCTTTGGCTCAGGTCAAGATTCCAGCGTCCTGCACTGAATCCCTTATCAGGCTCCCTGCTCAGCAGACAGTCTGCTTCTCCCTCTGCCCTTCATCCCACTTGTGCTCTCTCTCTCAAATAAGTAAATAAAATATTTTTAAAAAAATATTTTATTTATCGCTTAACCGACTGAGCCACCCAGGTGTCCCATAAATGAAATCTTTAAAAAAAAAAAGTTTTGTTCTGTTGTTTGTTTTATTATTTTTGAGTCTTAAGAGTTCTTTCTGTATTTTGGGTAACAGTCTTCTATTAGATGTGTCTTTTGAAAGTATTTTCTCCCTGTCTGTGCCTTGTCTTCTCATTCTCTTAATATGGTCTTTCACAGAAGTTTTAATATTGTGAAGTCCTTATTAATTATTACTTTCATGGATCGTGCTTTTGGTGTTATGTCTAAAAGGTCATCATCATACCCAAGGTCATCCAGATTTTCTGTTATCTTCTAAGGGTTTACATTTAGGTCTGGGATCCATTTTGAGTTAACCTTTGTGAAGGTGTAGGGTCTGTTTCTAGATTCACTTTTTTGCACATGGACGTCTAGTTGTTCCAGCCATTTATCGAAGAGATGACTTTTGCTCCATCATTTTGCCTTTGCTCCTTTGTCAAAGATCATTTGATCATACTTAGGTGGGTCTGTTTCTTTTTTTAAAAAAAAGATTTTATTTATTTGTCAGAGAGAGAGAGAAAGAGAGCACAAGCAGGGAGAAAGGCAGAGGGAGAGGGAGAAGCAGGCTCCCCACCAAGCAGAAAGCCCGATGTGGGGCTTGATCCCAGGATCCCGGGATCATGACCCGAACTGAAGGCAGACGCTTAACCAACTGAGCCACCCAGGCACCCCTGTGGGTCTGTTTCTGAGTCCATTGATCTATTTGTCAACTTTTCATCTGTATCATAGTCTTGATCACTGTATCTCTTCAGTCAGCTTTGAAGCTGGGTAGTATCCTCCAAGTTTGTTCTTCTCCTTCAATATTGTGTTGGCTTTTCTGGGTCTTTTGCCTCTTCATATAAACATTAGAATCAATTTGTTGATAACCACAAAATAACTTGCTGCAGTTTTGATTGGGATTGCATTGACTCTATCATCAAATTGGGAAGAACAGGCATCATGGTAATGCTGAGTCTTCCTATTCACGAACACAGGACATTTCTCCATTTATTTAATTTTTCTTTGAGTTTGTTCATTAGAGTTTTGCACTTTTCCTCATATAGATCTTGTGTGTATTTTGTTAGATTTATACCTAAGTATTTAATTTTTTCGGTGTTAATGTAAAGGGTATTATGTTTTAAATTTCAAATTTTAATTGTTTCATTACTGATATATAGGAAAACAAGCGATTTTTGTGTATTAACTTTATATTCTGCAACCTTGCTACAGTTGCTTATTAGTTCCAGGAAGGTTTGTTGTTGTTTTGCTGATTCTTTTGGGTTTTTTACATAGGTGATCATCTGCAAACAAAGTCATTTATGCATGCAACCCTTTAATTTCCCATATGTATACCTTTTATTTCCTTTTCTTGTCTTATTGCATTAGCTAGTACAATTGACCCTTGAACAGCATGTGTTTGAACTGTGCAGGTCCACTTATTTGTGAACTTTTTTTGGATACAGTACAGTACCGTATACCCGCTAGGGCCTCCCCTTCCATGTGCACCTCTCCCCCCATTTTCTCTTCCTTATGATTTTCTTAATAACATTTTCTTTTTTCTAGCTTACTTTAAGAACACAGATTATGATACATATAACATGAAATATGTGTCAACTGTTTGTGTTGTTGGTCAGGCTTCCCGTCACCAGTAGGCTATTAGTAGTTCAGTTTTGGGGGAGTCAAAAATTATATGTGGGTTTTCAACTGTGCAGGGGTTGTTGCCCCCAACCCCTGCATTGTTCAAGGGTCAACTGTGCTTCTAGTATGATGTTGAAAAGGAGTGGTGAAAGGCGTTTATCGCTAATTAGAAAAAAAATTCCTCAAGTGTCACCTCTGACCTCTTTTACCCAGTGGCACCCTTGGTAAGCGTTATAGCCTTCAGGTCTTTTCTGGGATGTCACCTTCTCAGACTTGCTTTTTCTTTTTCTTTCTTTCTTTTTTTTTTTTTTTTTTAAGATTTTATTTATTCATGAGAGAGAGAGAGAGAGGCAGAGGGAGAAGCAGGTTCCCAAGGAGCAGGGAGCCCGATGCGGGACTCGATCCCAGGACTCTGAGATCATGCCCTGAGCCGAAGGCAGACGCTTAACCATCTGAGCCACCCAGGCGCCCTGCTTTTTCTGACCGTCGTTTACAAATGCAGGCTCACTCAAACTTACTATTCTCCTTCCTGGCTTAATTCTTTTTCTTTCTTTTTAAAGATTTTATTTATTTGACAGAGAGAGACACAGCGAGAGAGGGAACACAAGCAGGGGGAGCGCGAGAGGGAGAAGCAGGCTTCCCGCCGAGCAGGGAGCCTGATGCGGAGCTCGATCCCAGGACCCTGGGATCACGACCTGAGCTGAAGGCAGATGCTTAACGACTGAGCCACCCAGGAGCCCCGCTTAATTCTTTTTCTACAACAGTTGCCATCAGCTAACATACTAGACTTTTTCTTTATTGTGTCTATTATCTGCTCCTCCTCACCTTTCACCAGAACCTAAGTTCTATGAGGGTAGATTCTTGTCTCTTTTGTTCACCACTTTTCCCTCAGTGCCTAACATGTAGTGGGTGCTCAAAAAAGTTGTTAAAATGGATTAATGAATTATGGTATATGTATAGTCCAGATTACATGGGATTTCGCTTGAAATTTTCTTCTGCTTCCTGAGGTAATTATTTTTCTGATGTGTATGCTTCACCTGCCTATTGTTTGCATTTTTTTTTTTAAGATTTTATTTATTTATTTGACAGAGAGAGAGAGATAGCGAGATCAGGAACACAAGCAGGGGGAGTGGGAGAAGGAGAAGCAGGCTTCCCGCCGAGCAGGGAGCCCGATGTGGGACTCGATCCCAGGACCCCGGGATCATGACCTGAGCCGAAGGCAGACGCTTAATGACTGAGCCACCCAGGCGCCCTATTGTTTGCATTTCTTTTCTCTCCCCCTCTCTTTTGGAGACTGTATTCCTAAATCCAGCACTAGTTCTTTTTTTGTTATGAAACATCTGTGAGTAGAGAAAATCCCATGTGAACTACATACTTGGGGAGGAGAGGGCAGTATGAGCTATGGGCATCTGGTAGCTTCTGAGCAGGTATGTGGCAGGTGAGCTGTGTCCTCTGCCCTGTAGGCACTGTGCTCTGTGGACCAGTGGGACTTGTGAAGCCCACGTGTTACAGGTGACTTAGTGTCTACAAACATCTGCTGGCTACTCTGGTCAGCAGTGGCAGGGCTGAATGACCCTTCCAGCAGGGTCATTTCTAGAATCTTCTCAGGGCCAGATGGTGGAGTCCATCTGGTCCTTCTTTCTTTGGGATCCTTTCTGCTGCCCTGTGTTCATGGTGAGGCATGACCTAAGGATACAACTTGGGCCAATCTCACGAGGATTGTTTGGGCTGCTGGGTGGATGTACTGCCTACCACTGAATGTAAGTAAGGAAGTACAGAGAATCATGGCCCCAAAGACATCCAGGCCCTAAGCCCTGAAACCTGTTACTGTCACCTTACATGGCAAAAAGGACTTTGTAGTTGTGATTACATAAAGAATATTGATTGAGGGGTGCCTGGGTGGCTCAGTCAGTTAAGTGTCTGCCTTCAGCTCAGGTCATGATCCCAGGGTCCTGGGATTGAGCCCCGCATCGGGCTCCCTGCTCGATAGGCAGCCAGCTTCTTCCTCTCCATTGCTTGTGCTCTCTCTCATGCGCTCTCTCTCTTAAATAAATAAAATCTAAAAAAAAATATTGATTGAGATGGGGAGATTATCCTGGTTCATGGAGGGGGGCAGTGTAATCATAGGTGTCCTTACAAGAGGGAGGCAAGGAGGGTCAGGGAGAGATGTGATAATGGAAGCAGAGATGACAGACACAGGGAGAGAGGGATATGAAAATGGTAAGCTGCTGGCTTTGAAGATGGAAGAGCCCTGAGCCAAGGAATCCAAGCAACCTCTAGAAATGGGGAGAGGATGAAGCAGATTCAATCCTAAAGCCTCCAGGGGCCCGGTCCCTTGGTTTTAGGACTTGTGACCCCCAGAACTGTAAGATGATACATTCTACTATGTCTCTGGAAATCTGTTATGGCGGCCACAGAGATCCCATAAGGCAGAGCACCAGCCTCCCTCCCAGGATTGGGACCCATCTTCAGACAGCTGACACCCCCAGGGAGGATCTGGGCTTCGACAGCATCACCCAGCCTCTGGTCAGTACTCTCCCAGCATGCCCCCGACCCTGAACTTCCACGTACATGAACAGAAGTCAGATAAGCATCCCTCCTTCCCATTATGGCATAAACCAGCTTGAGTTGGGTTTTCTGCTTCTGGCAACTCAGCGGAGTCCTGCCCCCAATGTGGTTACAGGACACTGCCCACCTGGGGTGCTGAGTTCACCTTCACCTCCTGGGAAGTTGGGGTAGGACTAACATCCAAGTTCTGTTTTCAGAAGGGAGGGCAGTGAAATGGCTGACTGTTCTTTTCTCAAAGGTGCGAAGGCCCTGCCCCGTGTCTGTTATGGTTGGCCACGTGACCCCACAGGCACAGAGTGGCAAAGAAGAGGGCGGGAGCACTTTCCCCTGGAGGTCCCAGCTCTGAGGCTCAAGGGGAAGCGGTGAGTGGTCCTGAGTGTGGACAAGGGCGGGGGTCAGTGTGGCTGCAGCAGCTTTGAGTCAGGAAGGGCCAAAGGAGAGAGACAGTGCCCAGGGCTCTCTGGCAGTCACTGAGAACCATCTCTGCCCTCCCGAGAGAACCAGGCAGAGGACAAGTCAGAACTAAAAAAAATATTTCATTTCATTCTGAATAAAAAACGGAACAGACAGAACTCTCGGAAATCCTGAAAACAATGTCATCGCTACGGCAAAATTTCACAGAAATCATCGCACAGAGTGTGGAGACCAAGCGCGGGCCCCAAGCAGCGGTGGAGGCTGCCTCTCTGGGGAGGGGCACGAAGGGGGAGGTGGCCCCTGGGGGCCAGGCACAGGTGGTGGCTGCGCCCCTGGGAGGAGCCCTGCCGGGTCCCCAGGGACCAGGCTCAGGGCCCGGCCTCCAGCTACCACCACAGGACTGTAGCCAGGGGCTGGGAGGGTTTGCCTTGTCGTCAGGGCCCCTCTGTGCGGGAGCCTTTCCGGCTGCGCGTGCCCCACATCCCCCGCTTGGAGTGGTAGTGATGGTAGAAATTCCTCAGTCGGAGCCGCTCTACCTCCAGCCCTGCCTGCAGGACCCTGGGTAGAAAGGGGGTGTCAGGACCCTGGGGAGGGGTGGCAGAGCTGCCCCTAGGCCTGCAGGGCTGGGGGTGGGGGTGGGGTCAGGACCTGGTGGTAGGGGGATAATTGTGGCTACCCTGAGTCTTCTGGAATATGTGGGTGGGCAGGATGGGAGTGGGCAGGACCCTGGCCCAGGGGCTGGGCGGGGGGAGGTGTGTCAGGGATTCCACTACTATAGGGCTCTGGTGGGAGATGGGGACTCAGGGCCACCACTGGACCTATAGGATCTGGGGACAGAGTCTATTCAAAGGCTGTCCCTGAGTCTGCAGGACCCCGGAGGTAAGAAGGGTTTCTGGGGATTAGGGTGGGGATTAGGGTCAAAGGGTTTCTTCCTAGGCCCATAGATCCTGGGAGATGAAGCAGAAGGACAGAGTCCTTGCAGTACATGAGGACCCCTCGGGCTTCCCCTCCCCATTCAGAGGAAGCTGTGGAAGTGTCCTTAGTCTCCCTGAAGGGTGGGGAGGTGCTCACCTGTCCAGGAGCTCCCAGTCCTCGCCCCCCCACTGGTCACGGAATTCCTCAGTGTTCATGCCTCCGACGCGGTCAAAGTCTGACTTGTAGATCCCGAAGAGGCCAAAGCCATTCACCTCCCAGTAACCTGGGCAGGGAGGTGCCCTTCAGACACCAGGTCCGGCAAGCCTTCCTCCCCAACCTCAGGAGTGGGTCTGGTACAGGGTCCTATCATCAGAGGGGCTCTCAGGGGTCACTCTTCTGTGGGGGGTCATAATCTGGAGACCTGCACGTGACTGGGTGCTGGAGGAGGTCCCTAAGGGTCAGGCATGACCCTGGAGGTTCTGGGGGAGGACCTGGGGTTCTGGGCAATATGAGGGGCATTGATGGGTCCCCAGGCCTACCTCAGGAGTTGGGAGAGGCCCCCAGGGGCCTAGATTTTACCCTGGCATTGGTGGGACTCCTAGCGTTACTGGGGTGGGGGCATCCAGGGCATTACCATGAGGGTCCCCTGGCGAGCTCCCGCAGCCCAGGCGCATGACCACAGGCGCAAAGGCCAGCTTGCCCTCCACACAGTGTTTGCGGATGCCGTCCAGGATGTTGGGGGGGAAATGAATGTGCAGATCGCAGAGGAAAACGATGCTGCTGGCATCCTGGAGGTCAAAGTCACGGGGAAGTCTGAGCCCCACCCATTCCTCCCCATGCTTAGCTCCTCCCTTGGCTCCCCCCATCTCCCTCTCCCTACCGCCCATGCCTCCCACGCACCTCCACTGCCTCCACTCCAGCTTGCAGGCCCGCCGAGCGCTCAAAGTTTCCAGTTCGCCTCAGGTACTGGTACCTGGGGGGGTGAGGGAGAGCAGGGGGTGGGAAGTCACAGGCACGGGTCCCTGGGGGCAGGGGTAGGAAAACCCACCTCCCCGAGGAGGCAAGATGCGCTCGGTCCTCCCCAGTGGGGGTGGAGGGCACTGTTACCGGGGCAGCCGAGCCGTGCGCAAGGCCCGTTCCACATCCATATCCTCGCTCTCAAAGTCCACCAGGATGACGCTGAAGCGTGAGTCCCCTGTGCGGGCGTGCAGCGCGGCCATGTCCGCCAGGAACTGGGCCACCCAGCGCGCCTGGTTCTTCACTGGTGGAGGATGGTGCCACTGAGTCCATCCCAAGGTGACCTAACCCCGTCCACAGCCAGTGGTGCTCCCTCACCTCGCTGAGAGGTCTCCTGGAACGCACCCCCCCCCATCCCAGGTGCCAGGGCCCATGGCACTCCTGCGCACCTGGCACGATGAAGTGCACCATCACATCCTGGCGCCAGGCCAGACGCAGTGGCCTGCACAGCTCCGGGTGGCCGTCTGGGCGCGTGGAGGTCGCGGGAGCAGGCTCAGGACTCTCTCCGTCCCTGTCGCCGTCTCCTGCGTGGGCTCCTGGCAGTCTCAGGAAGACGTACTCTGACAGGCGCAGGCGGCCGCCTCCACGCTCCTGCAGCTCCAGCTCCAGGAGGAAGCGGCTTCCGCGCGCGGAATCTCGGCGCTTCTCCACGTTCACAATGCGCAGAAGCGCGTAGCGCCTGGGAAGCGCGGCAGGGTCAGCACCCTTGGGCTTCGACCTTTCGTTCCTCCCTCTTCTCCGCCCCCACCCCCACAAACCAGGTGGCCACTCAGCTGACCAGCTGGGGTAGCTGCTGTGAATCCTCTGCCCTCCCAGGCTGCCACAGTCCCCTCACCCCTCATGCCCTGCTGGGGCATTTGGAGAAGACAGGCCCACATTGTGTGCCTCCCCCTCCCTAGGGTATTGCACACTTGGAGGCGTCCCCAAGCCCAGGCCAGTCCTTTCCTCCTCTGTGGTCTTCCTGCCACCACTCACATCCACAGTGATCTTTAGGACATGCTCAGAAAACTTCAGGGCCACCCACTGTCCACAGAATGGGGTTTGGATGGCTTAAAGTGGCATTCTAGGACCATAAGCAGATTCTAACTTGCCTTCAGTGTCCCCTCATGCTGAGTAAGCTGACTTCCTCTTCCTATAGGGTTTTTGTTCTGGGGTATCCAATCTGGCAGGCTTGCCCCAATCCTCCCCTGCTCTTTCTAAGGCTCTGAAGGGAGATGCCACTGGGCCTACCCTGAGCCTCTTCTGTCCCTTCCCCCGTTCTGGCTCTGCTGAGTATCTTTCGTCCTCCACTCTGCCTTCAAGCAGAGCCTTCTTATCCTGGGAAAACAGGATCCTGCCCATGCTAAGATTGCTTCTTCCTTCTGCTGCATGTCTTCCCTTTGCAGGCAGCACCCCTCACCATGGGAGCCTACTTGTGTGACCTCCAAGGGGTACACACTCCTACCAACCCCTGCCATCCCCACTATGCTCTGCCCCAAATGCTCTGGGTCTACCTACACTCTCAGTCCTTGGGGCCATTCATATCCTGCTCTCAGGAAGCTTAGAGCCAAGGGCAGGCTCACACTCAGCCACCTAGAATCAAATCCCTGCCCCTCCCATGCCATCCCATCACTGCCCTGGACCTAGCCTGTCAGTCATGGCCCCTATGAGCTTCCCATCCTGTCTATTCCTCTTCAAGGCAGCAACAGGTCTGTCTTCAACCCAAACAGGTCAAACCCCTGTCCTGCTCAAAACCTTGTATCGAAAGTAAGAAAAATGAGTGCTGAGCAGGTTGTTCAAGGCCCACAATTACCCCTTCTCTATTCTCTACACACCACGCCCCTGGCCTCTTGTCCCAGTGCCTTTGCCTACCATTGCTGTCTGTGCAGATCCTGCTCCTCCTTCAAGGCTCACACAACTCAGAACCCACCAGTGCCACCAGCGGGGCCAAGTTGAGGCCTCCCACTCACCACACCACTACCTACATGGGGATGGAGACAGGCCTAGATTTCTGGGGCTTGCAGGAGACCAGAGACAGCCATGGGGCAGGAGCCCTGTGCTCTCCTCTAGAGTCAGAGGAAGACCCTCTTGGAAGACCCAGTAGCATTGTGCCAGAAGAGGAGGGGTCCAGGGACTCTCAGGTTGACTTTTGGATGTGTCTCTATTTGGTGGAGAGTCCTGGCTGGCTCAGATTTATTCTTGGGTTCAGGCCCAAGGTGACAGGGTGGGGTCTGGAGGGAGCCAGCCCTCCGTGTGTGTGTGTGGGGGGGGGGTGAGGCTTCTAACATTGGACAGGAAACCTGGACAATAAGAAGCCCCAGAAGGCACAGAAGAGACAGGCAGAGAAGACTCTTCCCTAGGGGGTGTGTTTACACTCCCAGGTCAGTACCCTGGGCCCTGGGGAAGGTCTGAAGGTCCCACAGAGGCTAGGGCCTCCCCTTCCATGTGCGCTCCTCCCCCCATACCCGCTAGGGCCTGCCCTTCCATGTGCGCTCCTCCCCCCATACCCGCTAGGGCCTCCCCTTCCATGTGCGCTCCTCCCCCCATACCCGCTAGGGCCTCCCCTTCCATGTGCGCTCCTCCCCCCATACCCGCTAGGGCCTCCCCTTCCATGTGCGCTCCTCCCCCCATACCCGCTAGGGCCTGCCCTTCCATGTGCACTTTTCCCCCCTACCCGGCGTGGCGGGCGTTGAGCCGCTCCATGTACTGAGCCACCACGTCCACCGCCTCAGCCTCAGGCAGCTGCAGGTTCCCGGACACGTTGCAGCGCAGGTCGTTCCAGTCGGAGCGCAACAGCTCGAAGTCCATTGCGCCCACACTGAATGTGCGCTGCCAGTCAATGGCGTCCTCGCGCCAGCGGCCGCGGGGGGGCCCCGCCGCCTCCTCGCTGTCCTCCTCGCCCTGGGCCCCATCCTCATCTGCTTCCTCCTCCTCCTCGTCCTCGTCCTGCCCAGGCAGCTGTGGCCTGGACACCTGGGACAAGCTCAGGAAGGAGGTCACAGGCTGTGTTTCTGACAAGTTCAAGTCCGCGGTGGGTGCCGTGAGTCCCAGCATGTGCGGCTGGCCTTCCTGGCTCCCCTGGGTGGCCTGCGCCCGGGCAGAGGGCCTCAGCTCTGTGGCCTGGGAGCCACCGGTCCTGCGGCCTCGAGACCGGGGCGGGCGTGGGGGTGCCCGCAGCTGCACCCGGGGAAGAGGTCTGGGACGGAGGAAGACTCCAGGGAAGGGCGGCCAGGGCGGGCCGCGTGGGCTGAGAGGTGCCAGGTCGCGCGGGGGTGCCCGTAGTCCGGGCCGCACCCGTGTCACATACACCTTTGGGGGTGGCTGCTCAGCTGCGGCTCGGGGGCGCAGGGCGCGGCCCAAGAAGAGGGGCAGGGGGCGTGCAGCCCGGGCAGCCCAGCTCAGCGCCCGGGAGCGCCTGGGGGTTGGCAGGTCCCGGGTGCTGGGAGGCGCTGGCGGGGTAGGCATGGTTCCCGGTGGTGTGTTGGGGGCCACCGGGGAAGGGAATTGGCGGCCGCTCTGCCGGGGGGACGCCTCCGTAGGCTCCAGACTGTCTAGCAGCTCCCCCTCGTCCTCATCGTCCAGGAAGTCTGTGGGAAGCATGGTTAAGCCTGCCACGCCCAGGTGGGCACATGCTGGGGGGACTGGGGGGCACTCACCATCCGGGTTGAGAAAGAGGAAGGCTCGGCGCTGCACCTCTTCCTCTTCATCTTCCTCTCCCTCCTCTCTGTCCATCTTCATGTACTTATAGAACCCAAACCTGGGATGGGGTGGGGCATCAGAGAGGATATCTTGCTGCCCCCCCAAGAGGCCCCACCCTCATTCCTTGCTGGTGCCCCCCCCCCCACCTTTCCAAGTATAGTGGTGACTCCCGGTAGAAGCACTTATTTTCGGTCTCCATGTGAGTGAGGCGCGTATGATCATTGGGGTAGACGAAGGACAGGTACACCTGCGGGCGGGGCAGAGGGCTCAGGGGACCTGGGAGGGAGGTCCGGGTCTCAGGAAGGTCTTGGTGAGGGGCACTTACAAACTGCAGTCCCTGGTATCTCGCAATGGGAAAGTCCTTGACAACATAGGTGGGGGCGTAGGCACAGGGCTCCAGCACATTCTCCAGATTTGAAGGCTCCACCCGAGGAGCTGTGGGAGGAGTGGTCACAGAATGGCAGGCTGGGTGTCCCCGCCCCACCCCCCTGCAGGGTCCCCTCTCACTGAGGAAGAAGGTGTCTCGGGGGTCTGGGCGCAGCATGTCAGCTCTGGGCTCCTCCTGCGGCAGGTGCCCCCCCACATGGCTAGCTGGAGACTGGGGGACGTGGGCCACATGGTCCATCTTCAGGGATGATTCATCTGGGGGCAGAGGGATGTGTGGGGTCCCCAGGAATACCCAGAGACCACTCCTCACCCCTCCCCACCCATATCCAGTGCCCATCCCAGAGACCACTCCCCAGAGAGGTACTGGGCTCCGCACCTGTGTACAGGGAGATGTGAGCAGAGCCTATGACCTCAAACTTCAGGCCCGGCAAGAAGGCTCGCCACTGGGGGAGGGAGAGAGCGGTCAGGACCAAAGGGTGGGGGTGAGAATGGGAACAGAGCTTGAAAGGAATGGGTCTTCTCTGATGTGGGCATGGGGAACTAGTGGGGGCATCCCCTTCAAGGGTGCAGGAAACTTGAGGGTGGATGGGAGAGGGGTTCTTGGTGGCAGGTAAGGACCCTCCTATGCTCCCTCCAGGCCCTTCCTGACATCCTAAGCATTCTCTTGCCTGCAGGTTATGGCTTTCCTGTGGCCTGCTTCCCCATTCTACAGCCAATGCTCTCCTGGAGGTCACAGCTGACCTTCCAAGGGCTGGTGCACCTCATGTCCCTAGCTCTCCCCCTCCCTGTGTCCCCACTCCTGTGGCTACTCGTTCTCAGTCTCCTCTGCAGGCTCTGTCCCTCCCTCCCTCCTCTCAAGCTGGGGTTTCCAGGAGCTGTTCTAGGCCCTCTTCCCTTCCTACCTCATTCTGGGTCCTCTCGGCACCCCCTTGTCTTCCACAAGACCACCCTAAACCTGAGTCTCCAGCCTGGACTCCCTGCCAGCTGAGCTGGGTTGATGCCTGTCACATACACCAGGCACATGCGACATCCCACAGAACTGGGGCTGAGCACCCCCATCCCAATCTAGTCATCACCACACACACAGCCAGGCTCAGGCCCTCTGTCTTGTGCAAACCCGCTTCCCCCTGCACCTGCCACTTCTTCCTTTCCCACCTCCCTGGTTCAGGGACCACACATAAAAGCTCCCTCCTCCTGGGCTCTCTGCAACAGTAGCCAAAGGGTTTTTCCTGAGATGCAAACCCAACTGCTTCATTCTCAGGACAAAGCCAGAGCTGTCCAGGGTTGGCACTGTAGGCCCCATCTGGCCACTGGACCCCTTGGAGTTCTGGAATAACGCTCGGTGTTCCTATTCCTCTGCTGTTGTTGAGATTTGGAATTCGTCTGATGCACCCCCATCCCAGATTCTCTCCTCTTTGGATCTCCCTATGAATGTCTCATCTCTCAAGACTCTACTCAAGTGACACTTCCTCCATGAAGCCTCTCTGAGCAGGCAGAGTTGACCTTGGGCCCTGTCCCTGAGGGTCTGCTTTGCCAACTAGACGGGAACTCCCGGGGTGGGGGGCAGGGTCCACACCATTGCCCTGAAGGGAGTTTTGGGAGCAGAGAGGGCAGGGGAGGGGAGGTGGATTCTCTAGAAGCCCACGGATGGCCGGCCACACTCACGCCCACTTCCACGTGGTCTGAGCCTCGGTCGTCCTGCTTGTGCAGTAGCTCAAAGTAGTACCTCCGGGAGGCCATGAGCCTGGGGACATAAGGAATCAGGGGGACATGCCCCTGCCATGCCCCCTGGAGCTCCAGAGAGTGCAGAGAAGATGGGGTGCCCAGGGTGGTTTGGCCAGGACGGCCAAGTGCAGTGGTTTCATGTGTATGCAAATGTGCACACACATGCACACACACTCCCAGCCACTCACCGCTTGGGCTTGGACACCTGGGAGCTGAACTTGGTGAATTCTCCAGGAGCTGTCCACTCTGAGCCAGTCTGGGAAGCGACACAGAAGGGGTGGAGGGGGTTCAGCCTCTCCTTGGGGGCACCAGCCTCATCCAGTCCCCGTCCCTTAGAAGCTGGAGGAGACAGGTGGCGGAGGCGGCAGGAGGCCCAGTGAAGACAGATGGGGGTGTGGGTGGAGGGGCTGGGGCAGGAAGGCTGTGGGGTTGAGGGTACCTTGCCCACAAAGGCCACCAGCTGGGCACTCGCCGGGCTCTCGTTTGGGCTCAGCCAGAACTCAGAGTTGTCATCTGAAGCCACAGAGAACTGGACGTCTCCTAGGCCACAGGACAGGGACTCAGGGGGGTGTGGGGCCCCTTTTGATCTCCCCTCCCTGGCACATCCCTACCCTCGCACCATCTCTTGCTGGGTGGATGAAGCCGAAAATCCGTAGTCCATAGTTCTTCCACTTGGGGGACACAGCCAATTTCTTCACGGTGGTGCGAGTCTGGGGGGGCAGTGATGTCAAAACCCACTGCGTACCCCTCCCCACCCTGTAGGGCCTGCCCTCCCCCCCCAGCACTCACATGAGGGAATAGTGGGAAGTGCAGGTTCCTCCTCAGATGGCCCACGGCGCCTCCGCACCAGTCCTCGAACACGTGCAGGTTCACCTGCCCCTTGTACTGGGGGGGCAGGAGGGGGGCCTTACCTTCCGCAAAGCCCCACCTCCAGCACTCCCCTGAAGCCCATCACAGCCGCAAGCCAAGCAGAGCTCACCTCTTCCCACCACGGGGGCACATGATGAGTGAGGTTCAGAGGGGGTGGCTTTCCAGCCCCCACAGGAAAACGCATGTTTGGGTCCCGGCCGTCAGGCTACAGGAGCGAAAAGGCACCGGGGTCAAAGCTGAGAAATGGGAGGGCAGGGAGGGTTCACACCACCACACACAGCGGGACACAAACTTCACAAGGACTCCCCTGCACACAGCCAGCCACAAAATCCCAAATCCATCGTATCCCAACCACACACATCCACACGCCCCTCATCACACCTGCCCAGGCAGACAACGGGCCACCCCACACGTGCACCACCTAATCCCCCCAGACACGGAACTCCAGGCCAGGCGGTGCTGGGGCGTGCGCACCAACAGGCTGCACCCGAGTCCTCCATCCACACAGCCCACGGGTTCCCGAGGCCACTGGCACGCAAGTGTGTGTGCCGCATGCACGTGTCCTTTCCCACAGCCCTGCTCCCACCTGCTCTTCCTCATGGCTCTCGCTGGAGTCCTCTGCCCTCTGTGTGGACAGTGCAGTCCGGACACCCCTGCCCTCTGTCACACCGCTCAGCTTCTCACCGTCTGTGGGTGGCATGTGGGACATGACTGGGGCCCTGCTGCTGGGGGTCAGTGGGGTTATGGGGTCTCCCGCGGAACCCTCTCCTTTCAGTCTGCTCCCTCGTACCTGACACCCCACCTACAGCTGTGCAGTTGCTCTCTGCTGGGCCCTTCTCCCACATCCCACCCCTAGGGGGTGGGCAGCCCCCTCTCAAGGCCTCTGCCTGGCTTTCCGAGCTCCCTGATCGGTGCCAGGGAGCAGAGTTCTGTCCGACATGTACACATTTATCTGGCCATCCTGGTCAGTGGCTCCGCTGTCAGGAAGGCCCCCAGGAAGTGCCCTCAGCACTTTTCCCTTACACTGAGTGTTTTGTGTCTCCTTCCCTTATCAAAACTGTGCTAAGGGTTAGTGCTGGAACTTGTTATTGGGAAAGCTGGTGCTTTTGTCTTAAGGCTAAGCCAGCCCCAGCTCATGGCCAAGTGCCACCTCCTGCCCTTGGGGCGGGGGCTCAGGACCAAAGGAACCCTGGCACCAGCCTGGATGGAAGAGGGATAGACACGCTGGTCTGGCTGCGGGAGGACCTGCGGCAAACATGGCTCTGGAGAGAGACTGTACCCCTGAGGAACCCTTCCTAGGTCTGTCTGTGGACATCTCTAGAGCTTCGCAGCACCCCCACCCCCCATGGACACATCCCCTAGCCTGGGGCATTGCCATGCCCCTAACTCCCTCAGATTCCCAGACTTCTTCCCCAAGCTGTGGGCCTGAACATCCCACCCTGTCCCCTGGGGCAGGGTGGGGAGTGCCACACCCCGGGACCTGAGGCTCTGGAAGGGAGGCTTTATTGTATCCCACCTCTGCCCCTCCTGGTGCTCCCACCTAGGGATCCCCAATCCAGGAGCCCCGCCTCTGCTTCAGGGCAAGCCTGGGTTTTGACATCCATGCCCATCCTTCAGTCCAGACTCCAGGAGCTAGATTCCTGTGTGGGCATAATTGGCCTGAGCCCCTTCTCCAGGATAGGGGAGCTGTCCTTGGTCTCCTGCCTATGGGACTCCTGCTGGCACCTGCCCACCTGCTCCTTCTGGGTTCCTCCCTCACTGCCCTCTGTCCAGCTGGCAGATGAACCCCTAAGAGGTTCCTGGCCAAATCCCCACAGCCTGGCCCTGATACTCCCTGCCCACCAAGCTAAGTCCGTGGGTACTAGGAGCCTCCTGTGGTGGGTTGCAGCCCGGGCTTCCACCACTGTCTTGCAGGGGCTGAGCCCCAGCACAGTGAGGTCCGCAGAGGCCTCTTGCCACACAGCTTTCCTGCAGGGTACCAGGAAAGTAGCCCCCCTGCCCCGCTCCAATGCTGTCTCCCCAGCTGTAAGTGAAAATAGCACTGATCCAACACTCTAAAAGGCCTCAGAGGCATGTCTAGCTGCTCAGCTGTTCACAAGCCTTACCCTGGGTGGAGCCCAGGTGGCTGGACAGAAGGTGGGGCTGCAGCCCAGAGCCAAGACCTGCGGGCTGGAGCTGTTCTGGAAGGTGCCACAGGAGAGTTTGACCTTCCAGGACCCTGAAGAGCTCCTGCTCACCCACGAGTAGTGAGGGCAGTCTGGCCAGTCACCCAGCTTCTCTGCTGGTGTAGCTGAGAGCAGAGAGGGACTCAGAAATGGAGTTCCCACACCTCCACCCCCTCCCAGTTGCTGAGCTAGACTCCCCAGCTACTCAGGAAGTTGAGCTGGGGAGGACTGTGGTTGCTTGGAAAGCCACAGAGGTGACTGGGGAAGGGGGTTCGGTTTTGTCCTGTGTCACTGGGTCACGCACTGGGTCCTGCCTTGCTTGCTGATAGCTGGGGAGGAGGGCTTCTTTTAGGGACTGAGCAGCGCTGGGGGCCTCTCAAGAGTGTGGTGGCTGTGAGGTGTGTAGACTCTGGGGGGTTGGGACAAGCTCCAGACCCCTGGCCTGGGAGATCTGTGGAGCCAGGTGTCCAGGCACACAGAGGGGAGGCAGAGGGCTTTGGCAACTGAGAGACAGGATTGGGACTGAACAGGGAGGTTTGGACCCTTCGGTGGAGTGGCCCTGGGTGTTGTGAGCCAAAGTCATTGTTCCAAGTCTTTAGGAAGCAAGATTCTCTCTCTACACCTCCCGTCCTAAAGACTTCCAGCACCCTGCTTCCTTAAGAAGGGTCAGGGGCAGTCTGGCTGGGATCTTCCCAGCCCTGGGCAGGGGCTTCTGCTCCTGCCTTAGCTAGGATGTGCGGGGGTGGGGGGGTGGGGGGTTACTTCTGCCCTGAAGTGTTGCCCTCTCTCCCATCCCCATACCCCTTCCCCAGGTTCCAGGCTTTCTGCTTCTCCTCTTCCCACCAGGTCCTCATAGTTTTGTTCCTCCTGCCAGGAGTGCTCTTCCTCCAGATGTGTTTCAGCAGCCACCACCTTCAAGAGGGCGTCCAGATCCCCTTAGCTAAAGGGGCACAACCCCTCCCTAGCTCTTTCTCACAACACTCAGCAGGACCTGATTTACTTTGTGGGTTCACTGTCCTCACTGGAGTGTGAGCTGGAGGGACCTGGGAAAGTTCACTCCAGGCAGTTCAGGGGTCCCCATCACCCCCCAACACAAAAGCATCTCAGTCTCTTGTTACAGGTTTACCTAGGGCACTCCCTCCAGGAAGCGTTCCAACAGCACCAGTCAGCTCCCTCCAAACCCTTCCCCCACCCCCCGTCGGGAGGCTGGATCAGTCTCTCCCCTGTCCCCAGCAGATGGGTAAACTGAGGCTCTGCCAAGGAGGCAAGTGGTGGAGGTGCAAGGCCTTCTTGAAAATCCCAGCATGCAGGGCCTGGGGGCGATGTCTCAAGAGCCTACCGTAAACCCCGTCACTACTGGCTCCAGGTCAGATCCCGGAGTCCGCCCAGGTTTGGGGACGCTCCCCAGGAGGGTCGCGCACGTCACTGCTGACGTCATTGGGCTCCGGGCCGGGCGGAACCGCGCCCCCTGCCCCAATATCGCCGAGCCGGGTAAGGTGGCCAGGGTCTCCGGGCGCGTCTGGCCCACGCCGAGCCCCGGGAGCGGTAAGAAGGCCCGGACCCCGCGCTGCTAGTGGCCCTCACCGCCCCCCGCCCCCAGGGCGCGCGCCCCCTCCAGTACCTCGCCCGTAGCCCAGCCGCTGGCGCAGCGCGCGGCCCTGGCGCACCAGGCTCAGGTGCACGTACGTGAGCCATGCGGCGCAGGTAAGCAGCACCAGCAAGAGCAGCAGCTTGATCTGTTTGCGGATCTTCTTCACCGGGAACCACGGCATCGCGGCCGGCCCCGCCCCGCCTCGGGCCGTGCTCAGCGGCACCGCTGCGGCCCCCGGTTCCCGAGCGCCCCGCGCCGCATCTCCCGGCCCCGCATGGCCCTTTGTCCGCCCCCCGCGGCCACAGGGTGCGGCCGCGACCCCAGGCTGCCCTCGGCCGCGGGCCCGGGGTGGGCGGCGGAGCGGCTCCCGGCGGTGCCCCCGCCCGGCCCCGCCCGGCCGCTCCGGCTCCACGCTCCTCGGGGCCGCGGCGGGACCGAGCAGCATCCACGCTGCGGTGCTACCCACCGTGAAACGGGCCCGGCAGCGCGAGCCAACCGGGGCCCGGCCAGCCCGCAGGGAGCCAATCCGCGGCGCGGGAGGCGGGGCCGACGAGTTAGGGTGTGCCCGCCGCTCGTCTCCACGCAACGCGCGCGCATCCACCTGGGCGCGCCGGCCCGCGCAGCTCGCGGGCGCGGGGACCTGAAGGTTCGGAGGACTAGGAACCGGGGTCAAGGGGTTCACGGAGGGTGGGGAGGTGTGGGGACAGGGGAATGAGCGTATGGGGGTGCGAAGGACGCGGGGACAGGGGTCAGGGGGTGCCCAAGGGACAGTGTGGTGCGAAGGACACGGGATGCAGGGACACGGGGATGGGGAGGTGCAGAGGACGGGGGAGGGGGCGGGGCAGAGGGGTTGGCGGGTGGGTGGGGGAACGGGCATAAAGACAGGGGAGATGCAGAGGACTTGGGGCTGTGGACATGGGACACTGGGGTGGCGATCAGGGTGTGTAGGGATGGAGACAATGGAAGGCACAGGCTATGGGTTGGGGGACAGTGGGGACACAGGGAGCAGAGGACTCCAGGAAATAGGGGACACCAGGGGCTTAGGGAACGTGGAGGGAAAGCTGGAGGTTGGGGTACAGCCTGGCCTTGGAGTTGGAGCAAGCCTGTAGAAAATAGTGCAACCAGGAGGAATGGGGCTCAAAGTGGAGGAAAGGAGAAGGAAATTTGGGGGAGAGACACAAGTGGTAGGTGATGATGATGGGTGAGGGGGGCAGGAGTGTATGTGTGTGGGGGGGTCTTGCCATGGAGGTGAGACTGAGGAGGATCTCAAAAGCGGGCGACTTCATCCTGGCAGCCAGGGTCTTTCCTGGCTGCCAGGTGGATGGGCAGCAGAGGGGCAACTGAAGGCAGAGTGAAGATGGAGAGCAGTTGCACAAGCAGATGGGCAGGACACACCGGAAGGGGCAGGAGGGGTGCACCACACGGCTTTTCCACTCTGGACTGGAGCGCTGGGGTCTGGGGTGCAGCTCTCGCTGAGCTGGTGGCAGGAGGGGAGTATGGGTGGGTGATGAAATTTGCCCCGCTTGGTTCCCATTCTTGCCTGGGCCACTGCAGGCCCCCCCCCCCTGCCCAGCGGCCAGCCTGACCCTTCTCCCTTTCTCTCTTCCTCCACCTATTCCAGTTCTGTGTTACTGTGCAACACACCACCCCAACAGGAGCGGTGTGAACCAGCTCCTGGGGTTCGTGGATTCTGTGGGTCAGGAATTTAGACAGAGCCCAACAGGACAGCTTTTCTCTGCTTTACGACAGGACAGGCCTCAGGTGCGAAGAGTGAATGGCTGGGGGCGACCCTGATGGCCGGGCCAGACTTGGCTGCACCCTCGTGTTGGTGCCCAGCCAGCATGGTTAAGCAGAACACCTGGATGGGGCCGCTTCCAGGAGGTGGGCTCGGGGCTCCAGCAAAGGGGGCAAAGCGCCTGTTGGGTTACCACACATCAGTTCTGCCACATGCAGTCACAGGCCACCCAGGTTTGAGAGGAGGGGACAGGGACCCCCACCACATCCTGGACACATTGTGCAGGAAGTTGCAGTCTTGCTGTGACCTGCCACACTATCCTCTGTCCTTTCATTTTAACCGCGGGGCCCAGAATCAAGCAGGCCACATCCCACCGTTAGGGTCTTTAAACCTCCTCACCCACCACCTCCCGTCCCGGCCCTTCCCCCCTCCAATCCACCTTCCACATTTACGTAATCTGCACACTTATTAAAACATACCAAATTGTGTTTTAAACATATTAACAGTGGTGTGCTTATGTTTCTTTTATTTTCTCTAAACCACATGTCGGTATGCCTGCTAGCGAGTCAGGTCAGTTATCTTCGGAATACAGCAGAGCACTGCTAATGGTCTGCGCTGCGACTCACTGTGGGGCTGGCCAAAGGCTCCAGACACCCAAGACTATCGGACCCACTGAGTCATGTGGCCCAGATGGCCGAGAGCTTACGTGGCAGCCTGGGCCTCCTGCAGCTCCTCCTTTTGCTCTGGGTTACTCAGGTAAGGGATTGGAGTAGTGACCCAGATGAGGTACAACTGTCTCCCAAAGGGCAAGACATGCCAGTCACTGTCTGTTTCTTTGTAGAAGGGACTGGACACAGCCACTTGCTTGGCACTTAGGAAGGGGTGTCTACTGGGCCCCTAGACATTTCAGATGTGGAAAGCCTTGGACTTTCTGTGGAATTTATTTTTCACTGGGCCTACCGAGGATAATTGCCACTTTCTGCTCATCAATTCAGTCAACATGATGTCACCAATGTAATGGTGTGAGGTCCAGTGGAGAGGAACAGTGACCCAGTCCCCATGGACTTGCTTCGGTAATAAAACCAAGTCAGCAACAGCAGCTGCAGTTGGAGTCACCACCTGGTCATGCTCAGTCTGTTGTCATTGTCCGAGACCCCCACCTTCAGCATCAGCTGGATCGGAAGGGCAAACAGGGGTGTGATGGGGATTACCACCCCTGCACCTTTCAGGTCCTTGTTGGTGGTGCTGGTCTCTGCACTCCCTCCAGAGATGCCTTACTGCTCTTGCTTTACTATTTTCCCAGGTAGGAGCGGTTCTGGGGTTCCACCTGGCCTTTCCCACCGTAACAGCCCCCATTCCAGGGACCAGGAAACCAAGATGGGATTCTGCTAACTGCCAATCATGCATTCTGCAACAAGGTACTAACCACTGGTAGGTTCAGGGACCCTCTGGGCCCAGAGTAAGATGGGCATGACCAAAACACCATTGATCACCTACCCTCCATAAGCCCCTACCCTGACTGGTGGTCACAGTGGTATTTTGGGTCTCCAGGAATCAGTGTCAGTTCAGAGCCAATGTCCCTGAAAAGCCTGGGATTTCTTATTTCCTATTACAGCCATGTGGTAAGTGGCCCTTTAGGGGCCTCAAGGGCACTGGCCTTGCCCTCATCCAAGGGGCCTTTGGGTATGGACTGGCTTAAACCTGGAAATTGGTTAGGGGTCCATGACTTTCTATCACAGTGATTCAAGTAAAACTTTTTGTCGTGGACTGAGTGTTGGCATCCCCCCAAATTCCTGTGTTGAAGCCCTAATCCCCAGTGTGATGCATTTGGAGGTGGGGTTTGGGAGAGGTAGTCAGGATTAGATGAGGTCCTGAGGGTGGGGCCCTGGTCTCATGGGATTAGTGTGCTTAGAAGAGACACCAGGGAGCTTGCTGTTTGTCATGCACACACACCAAGGAGAGGTCACGTGTGCAGACATGGTGGGCACTTGCAGCCCAGTGGAGAGCTCACACCGGAGCCCCACCAACGGGCCTCCTGGTCTGAGGCTTCCAGTGTCCAGAACCGCAAGCAAATTTCTGTTGTTTAAGCCCCACCCCCACCCCAGTCCATGGTATTCCATTCACTTGTATTCACCCTGCCTAGAGCTATTCTGCTTAACAAATCAAGTGGGACTCTGGCAGGCTCCTCATGATTTTAGTCCCAGGGGTACCATGATTTCTGAGGGTCAAAATATCCTGGTTAAGGGGCACCTGGGTGGCTCAGTCGTTAAGTGTCTGCCTTCGGCTCGGGTCATGATCCAGGGTCCTGGGATCAAGCCCCGCATCGGGCTCCCTGCTTGGCAGGGAGCCTGCTTCTCCCTCTCCCACTCCCCCTGCTTGTGTTCCCTCTCTCGCTGTGTCTCTCTCTGTTGAATAAATAAATAAAATCTTAAAAAAAAAACAGTTTTAGATTTATAGAAATACTGAGCATGGAGCACAGAGTTCCAATAGGGCTGCCAATCCCAGTTTCCCTATTATTAACATTGTGCCTTAGTATGGTACATTTGTCACAATTAATGAGCCAGTATTGATCCATCATTGTTAACTGAAGTCCACACTTTATTCAGATTTCCTGAGTTTCCCCCTCATGTCCTTTTCCTACTCCAGGACCTCACCCAGGACCCCACATGACATTCAGTCGTCATGTCTCCCGAGGCCCCTCTGGGCTGTGACAGCTTCTCAGACTTTCTGTTTTTGATGACCTTGACAGCTTGGAGGAGGACCAGTCAGGTATATTGGGTTGGATGAGTAGGATGACGCAGTATTGGAATTTGCTGTTTTTCTCATGATTAGGCTGGGGTTCTGGCGTTTGGGAGGATAAGCACAGAGGCGAAGTGCCATTGTCTTCACTTCATGTCAGGTACACACGATTGACCTGACGTGCCACCGTGACGCTGACCTGGATTGCCTGGCTGTGGTGTGCTTGTCAGGTGTCTCTACGGTGCTGTTGCTCGCTGTCCCCCCTTCGTCCTGTGCTCCTTGGAAGGAGGTCCCCCCTTCGTCCTGTGCTCCTTGGAAGGAGGGCGCCCCTTCGTCCTGTGCTCCTTGGAAGGAGGTCCCCCCTTCGTCCTGTGCTCCTTGGAAGGAGGGCGCCCCTTCGTCCTGTGCTCCTTGGAAGGAGGGCGCCCCTTCGTCCTGTGCTCCTTGGAAGGAGGGCCCCCCTTCGTCCTGTGCTCTTTGGAAGGAGATGCCGCACTAAAGGGCTGGTAGGCGGTGCCTATCCCCTTTATGGTGGAGGATCTACACACTTCATTCAGAATTCTTTTGCATGGGAGATTTGTCTCTTCTCTCCCACTTATTAATTTATTCAGTCATTTATTTACATCAGAACGGACTTGTGGATTTTTTTTTTTAAAGATTTTATTTATTTATTTGAGAGAGAGAATGAGAAAGAGAGAGCATGAGTGAGGGGAGGGTCAGAGGGAGAAGCAGACTCCCTGCCGAGCAGGGAGCCCAATGCGGGACTCGATCCTGGACTCCAGGATCATGACCTGAGCCGAAGGCAGTCGCTTAACCAACTGAGCCACCCAGGCGCCCGGACTTGTGGATGTTTATTTTATACTTTGGTTTATAATGTGATGCCACTTTAATTTTGTTGCTCAAATTGTTTCAACTTTGGCCACTGGGAGCACTTTCAGTTGTCTGTGCTCCTTTGATCTACTCACGTGTGTCTGTGTGTGTATGTGTGTTGAAGACCTCCTTAATTTCTGGCACCACAAAATGCTCCAGGGTCATTCTGTATATTTCCTGTATCAGTCCTAAAATCAGTCATTTTCCCAAGGACTCTGGCACCTTCCTTTTATTAGAAAATGGATTTAGGAATCAAGATCTGGGAAATAGGTGTGTTCATGGCTACTGGAGAGTTGTTTCTTTGTGCCTGCTCAGCAAACAAGCCAAAGAAATATATGTGTATACCAACTGTATGTATACAAGCCTGGAAATATTTCTGTAAATAATCTGTGTCGACATTAAGCTTGTGCCTCCAGCTCCCATCCGTCATCCCACGGACCATTCTCCTGATTCCCTGTCACCCCCCACTCCACAGTGACACCCCAGGCTCTCAGCCTCCGCCGGCCACCGAGTTGGTCCCTCCATTCCAGTGTGGGTGCGCAGCAGCCTCCTACCTGTGAGGCTGGGCCCCCGCGGGAAGCCCCTGCGTCCACGAGAGCCCAGGGCGCGTGTGCACGTGCTCTGCCTTGAGCCTGGCGGACTCCAGCCCCGTCCCTGAGGTGGCGTCACACACGTGTAATGCAGTGAGGGTCTTGCGCTGTTTGCACTGCTCCTGGGATCCCCAACGTCCTGACTGATTTCCTTTTCTCTGATTTGCCTACATTAGGTTTGCTCCCTGTGTTGTTGAGTTCTATGGATACTGACCAATCTACCATTACAGTACCATACAGAGCAGTGTCAACACCATCTACACCCCATGCTCCACCCATTCATCCCATCCACCTCCCTCTGTGCCCCTGGAAACACTGATCTGTTTACTGTCTCCTTACTTTTCCCTTTTCCAGAATGTCAAATAGTTGGAATCATACACTATGTAGCCTTTTCCAACTGGATTCTTTTTTTTTTTTTTTTTAAGATTTTTTATTTATTTATTTGAGAGAGAGAATGAGAGAGCATGAGAAGGGGGAGGGTCAGAGGGAGAAGCAGACTCCCTGCCGAGCAGGGAGCCCGACGCGGGACTCGATCCCGGGACTCCAGGATCATGACCTGAGCTGAAGGCAGTCGCTTAACCAACTGAGCCACCCAGGCGCCCCTCCAACTGGATTCTTTCACTTGGCAATATGCATTTATGGTTCATCCATGTCTTTTTGTGGATTGATAACTATTTTTATTTTTAAAAATTTTTAAAGATTTATTTATTCCTTTTAGAGAAAGAGAGCATGAGCGGGGAAAGGGGCAGAGGGAGAGAGAGAATCTCAAGCAGACTCCATGCTGAGTGCAGGGCCTGACTCCCGATTTGAGCTTACAACCCTGAAATCACGACCTGAGCCGAAACTAAGAGTGAGACACTTAACCGACTGTACCACCCGGGTGTCCCAACAATTTTCTTGTTAGTCACTGAATAATATTCCATTGTGTGAATTTACCACAGTTTATCCAGTCACCTTTGAAAGACATCTTGGTTGCTCCCAGGTTTGGCAATCATGAATAAAGCTGCTACAAATATTTGTGTGCAGGTTTTTCTGTGGACATAAGTTTTCAATTCAATTGGATAAATACCTGAGAGTGCAATTACTGGATCATATAGTAAGACTATGTTTAGCTTTGGAAGAAACTGCCAAATGTCTTCTAACATGGCTACATTCATTTGCATTCCCTCCAGCAATGAATGAGAGCTCCTATTGCTCCACATCCTCGCCAGCATTTGGTATTGTCAGGTTTTTGGATTTTAGTCATTGTATTGATATCTTATTACTTTATTTATCTTATTTCTTATTAAATATTATTTATTTATAACTCCCTAATGATATATGATGTTGAGCATCTTTTCAAATTCTTTTTTTTTTTTTTTAAAGATTTTATTTATTTAACAGAGAGAGAGCACAAGCAGGGGGAGCAGCAGAGGGAGAGGGAGAAGTAGGCTCCCGATGAGCAGGGAGCTCTCCTCAGGGCTCGATCCCAGGACCCTGGGATCCTGACCTGAGCCGAAGTCAGCCGCTAAACCGACTGAGCCACCCAGGTGCCCCTCAAATTGTTCTTAAAAAAGATTTTATTTATTTGACAGAGAGATAGAGCCAGAGAGCACAAGCAGGGGTAACAGCAGAGGGAGAGGGAGAAGCAGGCTCCCCGCTGAGCAGGGAGCCCGATGCGGGGCTTGATCCCAGGACCCTGGGATCATAACCTGAGCCGAAGGCAGATACTTAACCAAGACTGAGACACCCAGGCGCCCCTCTTTTCAAATTCTTATTTGCCACCTGTACATCTTCTTTGGTGAGGTGTCCAGATCTTTTGCCCATTTTAAAATTGTTTTTGTATTGTTGGTTGTTGAGAGAGTTCCTTGTATATTTTAGATACAGCCCTATATTAGATATATGTTTTAGAAATATTTTCTTTTAATCTGTGACTTGTCTTTTTCACTGTCTTACCAGTATATTTAGCAGAACAGAATTTTAAAGTTTTCATGAAGTCCAACCTAACAATTTTTTCATTCATGGATTTGCTTATCTGAAAAGTCATTGCCAAATCTTGGTTCATTTAGATTTTCTCCTATGTTATCTACTAGAAGTCTTAAACTTTGCAATTTATATTTAGGTCTATGACCAATTTTTTAGTTAATTCTAGTCTGGTATAGACTCATTTTTTGCTTATGGGTGTTCAGTTGTTCCACCACCATTTGTGAAAGACTATCTTCTTCATTGTGTTGACTTTGCACCTTTGTCAAAGATCTATATTGTATGGATCTATTTCTGGGCTCTCTGTTATGTTCCACTGATCTATTTTTCTAGTCTTTTGTCAGTATCAGGCCGCCTTGATTACTGTAGCTTTCTAGGAAATCATATAGTATCAGTTCTCCAATCTCATTATTCTTTTGAGTATGGTGGTGTCAATTCCAGGTGTTTGCCTTTGCTTTTCTCTTCTTTTTTTTAATCTTCTTTAAGATTTGTATATTTATTCTAGAGAGAGAGAGTGCCCGAGTGGGTGGAGGGACAGAGGGAAAGGGAGAGAGAGAGAATCTTGAGCAGACTCCCAGCAGAGTGTGGAGACTGACACGGGGCTCAATCCCATGACCCCAAGATCATGACCTGAGCCAAAACCAAGAGTCGGATGCTCAACCAGCTGAACCACCCAGGCACCCCTCTTTGCCTTTTCATATAAGCTTTAGCATCAGTTTGTCAACATCTACAAAATAACTTGCTAGGGTTTAAATTGGAATTACCCTGAATCTAGAGATCAAGATGTGAAGAATTGACATCTTAAAAATATTGAGTTCCTTTCAATGAGCATGGCATAGCTCTCTATTTATTTATTTGGTTATTTATTTATTTATTAGAGAGAGAGTGAGAAAGTGCACAAGCAGTGGGGAGGAGCAGAGGGAAAGGGAGAAGCAGACTCCGTGCTGAGCCGGGAGCCCTATGTGGGGCTTGATCCCAGAGCCCTGGGATCATGACCCAAGCTGAAGGCAGCTGCTTAACTGACTGAGCCACCCAGGAGCCCCTACATTTATTTAGAACTTCAATTTCTTTCATCAATATTTTGTAGTTTTCCTCATGTAGGTACTGAACATATTTTGTTAGATTTATCCCTAAATATTTCATTTTTATGATGCTAATGTAAATGGTATTGTGTTTTATATTTTTAATTATTATTATTTTTTAGATTTATTTATCTATTTGACAGAGAGAGAGTACAAGCAGGGGGAGCGGCAGAGGGAGAAGGAGAAGCAGACTCTCCGCTGAGGGAGAGCCCAATGCGGGACTCAATCCCAAGACTCGGAGATCATGACCTGAGCTGAAGGCAGATGCTTAACTGACTAAGTCTCCCAGACCAGGCACCTGGTATTGTGTTTTAAATGTCAAATTTCCATGGTTCATTGCTGGTGTACAGGGAAGAAATTAACTTTTTAATATTAACCTTGTTTCCTGCAACTTCATAATAACCGCTTATTAATTCAGGAATTTTGTTGTTGTTGTTAATTCTTTGGGTTTTCTACATAAACAGTTATGTCATCTGTGAACAAAGATAGTTTTATTTTTTCTTCCCAATCTGTACATATTTTATTTATTTCACATCCTAGATTCCCAGTACAATGTTCAGTGGTAGTGGTGAGAGGGGACACCCTTGCCTTGTTCCTGAGCTTTTTAAAAAATATTTATTTTATTTTAGAGAGAGAGAGGGAGCGAGTATTCAAGCAGGAGGAGCACCAGAGGGAGAGGGAAAGGGGGAGAAGCAGACTCCTTGCTGAGCGTGGAGCCAGACATAGGGCTGAATCTCACGACCCGAAGATCACCACCTGACCCCAAATCAAGAGTTGGATGTGCAACCGATGCAACCACCCAGGTGCCCTGCCTTGTTCCTGATCTTAAGGGGAAAATATCTGGTTCCTTACAATTAAGAAATGCGTTAACTATACATTTTTTGGTAGATGATCCTTAATCAAGTTGAAGAGATCTCTTCCTAGTTAGCTGAGAGCTTAATCATAAATGAGTATTGGATTTTGTCAAATGCTTTTTCAACATCAGTGGATAAGATCATATTATTTTGCGGTGCCTGGGTGGCTCAGTCGTTGAGTGTCTGCCTTTGGCTCAGGTCATGATCCCAAGGTCCTGGAATCAAGCCCCATGTCAGGCTCCCTGCTGAGCCAGGAGCCTGCTTCTCCCTCTCCCTCTGCTGCTCCCCCTGCTTGTGCTCTCTCTCTCTCTGTCAAATAAATAAATAAATAAAATCTTTTAAGAAAGATCATATGGACACCTGGGTGGCTCAGTCATTAAGCGTCTGCCTTTGGCTCAGGTCATGGTCCCAGGGTCCTGGGATGGAGCCCTGCATTGGGCTCCCTGCTCAGCGGGAAGCCCGCTTCTCCCTCTCCCACTCCCCCTGTTTGTGTTCCTTTTCTCACTGTGTCTCTCTCTGTCAAATAAATGAAATCTTTAATAAATAAATAAAGAAAATAAAATCATATTATTTTTCTACCTTAGCATATATATGTGATAGACTACACTAACTGATTTTAAAATTCTTGCACACCTAGAATAAATCCCACTTGGTTACTAGAATATACTTATTTTGTGGTGTATAATTCATTGTTGGATTGGACTTGCTAATATTTTGTTAAGGATTTTTGCTTTTATGCTCATGAGAGATATTGATCTGCAATTTTCTTTTTATGTCTATCTGGTTGTGGTTTTATTGGGGTAATGCTGCCTCAGAATGAGTTAAGAAGCATTTTTTGTTTCTATTTTCCAGAAAAGATTGCAGAGAACTGGTATCATTTTTCCCCCTTAAATATTTGGTACAATTCACCGTTAAGCCACCTGTGCCTGATGCTTTCTTATTTGGCATATTATTAATCATTGATTCAATTTCATTAATAAATATAGGCCTATTTAGTTGACCTATTTCTCTTTATGTGAGTTTTGATAGTCTGTGTCTTCAAGGAATTGGTCCATTTCATCTAAGTTATCAAATTTGTGAGCACAGAGTTGTTCATAGTATTCCTTTATTATCCCTTTAATGTCCATGGGATCTGTAGTGATGGCCCCTTTTCCATTTCTCATTGTAGTAATCTCTGTTTCCTCTTTTTAGTTTTGTTATCCTGGCTAGCAGTTTATCAATTTTATTGACTTTGTCTCCCAAAAACCAGCTTTTGGTCTTGTTGATTTTTTTCCCCCTAATGAGTGCTGTTTTCAATTTCACTGATTTTTGCTCTAGTTTTTATTATTTCTTTTCTTCTGTTTTTAGGCTTATATTGCCTCTTCTTTCTCTAGTTTCCTAAGATTGAGATTGAGATTATTGATTTTAGGTCTTTCTTCTTTTTGAGTATACATTTAATTCTATAGATTTCCCTCTAAGCACTGCTTTTGCTGCACCCCGCAAATTTTGGTAAGTTGTGTTTTCATTTTAATTTAGTTCAAGTTATTTTTAAAATTTCTCTTGGGACTTTTTTTTTTTTTTTAAAGATTT